GTTCCATGCAAAATTCCTGTACAGGGCTGCACTGTTTACATTGACTACAAAACTGTGTGCACAAGAGAGCTCAGCATGGGAACAAAGCCCTATCTCTGAAGTCTTTCTGTGAAACAAATTGAACATAGTTTTCCCCATAACAACAGGGGAAACCAGAAATATCTCTGAAGGGTAAAGCATCTCTCAAAAAATTTGCAGGAAACTTCTTCCTGATAAGAGACTTAACACAATCTGTAGGAAGTGAGCAGACTTCCTAAAAATACATGCTCAGTATAGGTGAGGCCCATCAAGTCCAGCTAATTGATCCCTCCATGAGCCACGGAAATTGCGGTATGGAGACTCAACCTACACAAGAAACTGAGCAGTTGAAAAGTTACATGCGAGATCCATGTTTTTAAAACTACCAATTTCTTGAATGCAGTTGTATTCTCTATTGTTCTGCAAAATACTATGGGCCCAATGAAATGGTATTTTTTCCGATCAGATCACATTAGATATGATGAAAAGACCGTGGAGAGAGAGAAAAGAAGCAGGAAATCCTACAAAAGAAAGCGAAACAGCCCTCTACTTTAGTACAAGAAACAGGTCTGCGTAAGCGGTAGATCAAGACTTTCAACTAAGGATTTATGGACGAAGAGATTTTATCTCCAGGCACAGGTTAGCCTTGTATAAATCCTAATCCTTGTTTTATACAAACTGACCCCAAAGTACCTGTGACATTTGAAAAATTTTGTACTAGAAGAAAACCTTGATGGTATTTTAGCGATAAGCAAAAGAAAGCTTTTGGAAGAGAAAGCTTTCCAGTGGAGAGGATGAGTTCACTTTTATAAACTTCCTAATTTTTTTCCTCAGATCTCCAAAGCAGCCCAGGCTGAAAATCCTAGACTAACTTCAGCTGAACTTGGTATGGACCTTTAGCTAGTTTGTTGGCAAAATCATTTAAATAAAAGTTCTTTGCCTATCTTTCCTTTTTCCAAAGGTACAGAATTGCTATATTAAAATATAGCCTGTAACCTGCTCGCCACCCCCCCAGAGAGTATAAATTAAATCAAACTTAGAAATAAATTGGCAAGAATGAAGACATGCTGCTATAAGAACCCGTTTCTTCAATGACCACAGACCCAGCATGTTGCAGCTAAGAGCCTGACTGCTCATGAACAACAAAAAAGGATGAACAGATACTCACCTCAAATGTACAGATACAAACGTGAAGCCTGGGGAACAAGCAGGAGGAACTAGAGCTCCTCACGCTGTTACTACAGCACTGTTGGAATGAGAGATATGGTGGGAGAGCTCATGTGTGGTGGGAGTGCTGGGATGGTTGGATACAAGCTCGTCAGGAAAGACAGGGAAGGAAGGAAGGAAGACTGAGGGAGCTCTTCACATGAAAGAACAGTTGAACATTTGTGATGGAAGGCACTCTGATTGAGGACGTAGCTCAGCATCAGAAAAGCCATTAAGTGACAAGTATGTGGCAGTGTATACAGACCAGCCCATCAGGGTGATGACAGTCAAGCACTGCAAGAGGTTGTTCAGAGAGGTTCTCCAGTCACCATCTTTGGAGATTTTCAAAGCCTGACTAGATAAAGCCCTGAGTAACCTGGTCTAATCTCACAGCTGACCTTGCTCCAGTAGACTTGACTAGGTCCAGAGGTCTCTCTCAGCCCAAATTATACTGTGGTCCAAAGGACAGAATCCCAGGCAGGAACCAGAGCTTTGAAATTGAGGCCAAGCAACACAGCATCTGCTACCAGCCAAGAAGTCTCAGTTTTGTGACCACATCTTAGCTACGAGTGTCACACACAGGTACTCACCCAGCAGCACCAAGGCCATGCATCCAGGAACCTACGGCAGAGTGATGGAGCAGTGGCAGTTGCAGCAGAACCCATTCCCACAACCTTTTAGAGCATCAAACATCTAGGAAAAAAAAAAACCCAACCACAACACCCAAAACAATCACTGCCAACAAATGTTAATTTGAAGTTAATGTCCCAAAGAGCATTTTCTCAGGATCTTTGAAATGTTTTCAGTTTCCCTAACCAGTTATGAGCCAGGGAATTTAAGACTGCATTAAAAAGTATTCCCAGTGAGGAGAAAGGGCAGGGGGGGCAAAAATCTGTTTAATTCACTGATGTTCCTTACACGTGTCCTCCCCTGCAGTCCTACCCTACAATACAGCATATCGGCGCCAAGATTGAGAAGGAACCAAAACTTAGCACCTCCCTCTCGATGAGACATTGTTTACTTAGTTTTGGATGATAGGAACAAGATCTCAAGTCCAGACTGGCATCATAATCCTTTCTTGACAAACATCCAACCCTTTTTAGTGACAGAACCATACTGAATACTTCTAACCATCTTCAATGTGAGAAGGCTGCTGTGCTCAGGAAACTATAATCACACTATTTCTCTTGATTCACTAAACGTACCCCCTCAAATCTTGATCCTCCTCCTCTCTGGTTTTCTTCCCACAGGTGGCTTCAGCTCCTCCAGTGCCACACAGCTCTTTTCCCAGACAGAGCTCATGCTCTAGGGAAGCTTGGGGTCAGTTCTCCAGCCCCTGCTAGCAGCCTCCTCTACAAAAGCTGCCAGTCAGCTGGCACAGATAGTCAGACAACTATCTATATCACCAATGATAGCTGCTCCTCCAGTCTCCAGGCCTTGCTTAGCACCTGGCCTCCAGCTCCCTGGACTTGCAGATGTGGAACAATCACCTGTGCGTTTGGATTGCTACAACACTGCTTTTGGCTCCTTTCTCTTCTTTTCAGAAATTGGCCTGCAGCCAAGGGTTCACAGCTACTCCCAAGAGGGACAGGCAGTCTAAACAGAAATGTGATGCTGAAGAGTGCTCAGCGTACAGTAAGCATGTGCTGCCCTGCCTTTTTTAGGGGACTACAACAAAGCTTGAACACCTACTCACAAATGGATATCCCCACAAATGAGGCATGTGCTTCAGCATGGCTCAGCTGCATAACCAAATTAAAAAGCTTGTTCACGTCTGCAAGTGCTGTGTCTGTGTAACAAAATTTTTATAAAATCTTCCCTATATCAGCGAACCACTGTGACTAATACAAATAGATGTACACTGCCCCAGGTGCTGTACACTTGTCCCTGATAAGCCATTTTCTCAGTATTGAACTGCAGTATTACCCATTTTGTTTTGCTGGAAAAAAGAAAACTCACAAGCACTCAAGTACTGCCCTAAACTTCAAAATCTTCAAAGTTTATTGCTGTAGAAACAGCAGAAAATGAACCTCTAGGTTCTGTAAAGATCAAGGTAGCAAGAGACTCCTTACAGCATCAGTGAGAAGCCTACTGTATCAAAGGCTTGGGGTTAGCACCAGTAACAAATTACAACAAACTTCATACCAGCCTCCAAAAAAAAGTTCACACACAAGCACCAGGATTTAGGTAGAAAACAAAGTTTGAAATTCAAGTCGATCTTCAAGAAGTTAATATGAGAATTAATTCCTGTGACCAAGATAATGCCCGAGTCATTATTTGAGAAAACACTTATGAATCAGAAATGAACACACCTGAATATTATTTTGAATTCCAGATTAATACAGAATTGATTGGTAAGAGGGTCTTCCTGCCACTCAAAGTCTACCACTTTAGTCTGGCACCTGCTGGAACACACTTTTCCCTGCCCAGTTTTTACAAGTACTTTGGAAAAACACATCACTATCTGGAGGATTTCCAAGAAATAATACCTCAGGGAAAAAAAAAGAAAACATTTTTTTTAACTGTTCAGACAACACCGTTAACAAGAAAGTCTATACCAAGCCATGTAACACTGTAACATTAAAAAAAAATCAAATCTAAAAATACTGAAAATGAAACAGTAATCACCAACATCAATGTTACATCTGTATGATAATCTCTGATTACAGTAATTTCTCACACAATTTCTGATAAGAATGAAGACAACAGTCTGTAAGGTTACTATCACTGTTACCATTTAGTTTTAATTCAGAGGGCCTTTCAAACTGGACAAGTAAAATACTTACAAAATCTGTGTGACATCTGCCAGCTCTCCATTTCTCTTTCTGATGTCCTTCCTCCCTCCCTCCCCTCTCCCGCTTCCCCTGAAAACACTCTTCTGTGGCAGATGGACTCAACACTTCAAGTGAGCAACAAGCATTGACTCTCCCTGGCCCAACTGAACTGGAAGGGGTCAGTCACTGTTCTGCTGAATATCTGAAAAACAGGCCAAGAATGGGAACAGGACTCCAGCATAGTGCATGATATCCTATGGATCTCTGCAACAGACAGATCCCTGTGCAAGGGAGAGAGAAAGGCTTTGATGTCACCTAGTAGGCAGCAACTTTGAGGAGAGTGATGAGGCAAGAAGGGCACACAAAAACCTCTGTCTGAACCTGAAATACAGGTTTAAAGCCAAGGCAAAATGAGAAGCATGAGTGTATATACAAGTGTGGGTGGAAACCAGTCCTGTGCGTACAAAAAAAAAAAAGTCGACTAAAGAAATTTGAGACCAGGTGGTAAACACAAGAGCAAATCTACTTGTCCAACACAAAACAGTTGCACTACCCTTGGAGAGCAATGCTTTATGAAACTGCAAACCTTATTATTAATTCCATTCTCTTTATTTTGTTTTGGCACTATCTACATGAATGGAAAACAACTGAAAAAATAGATACATGCGCTTTGGTTTTACTGGCTTCCAGAATATGACTGGAATGGGAGCAATGTTTCTAATATTCACCTTCTTTTAAAGGGTGGTTTCACTGAAAAGTGTTTGTTTCTCGAGCTGTTACTTAGCATATCATTTGTATGTTAGCCAACAGAATTCTGAGAGGCTTTTCCCATGCTGCTCCTCTCAGTCTCTCTTGTTTCGGATTTTGGGTTTATGGTTGTTTTTCTTTTTTTAAAGAGTGCCCAACTGAAGGCTACTTCCGAAATGTAGCTGTAAAAACTTGCATTTGAGTTCTCTTCATAAAAGAGATGGATAAGTGAAGAGTAAGGAGGAGAAAAATGTAAAGAAAGCAGACCTGTACTAAAAGCATCACAATGGAGAACAGAGGTTATTTGACTCTCCATGTCACCGTAATAGAAATATTAAAAGTAACTTTCTTCGGACTGTGTGTCACATTCAATTCTTAAAAAGAGTATCAGCTACAGTGTTTCTGTGCAGAAAGTCACTTCCCCACTGCTTTTTGTAGACTGCCTGCATGATTTAACTTTAAAGAGTCCAAAAGGCTTCTGATTGTTTCACTTCCTATTCCTTTCATCCTGTTCTTCACCTTGCTGGAATTACTTTTCCCAAATGGTATCAGCAGAGCTGCCAGTCCCCAAGGCTGTTTATCGACTATTCGCTGAGTTTTCTCTTCCTTCTGTAAAATCCAGGCACTTTCTCTGGCCATAGCTACAAATTTCTCCAGCTGTGGCTGATTAACATTCTTGCTGATATTAAGGTCTTGTTCAAAGGGATTCCAGATATAAAGAGGAGACGACTCAGGTTTATTTACTTCCTTTCCCTGCAGACAGTGTAAAGAAAAAGCCAAAGTCGCATATATGTATTATAGGCTGAGCAAATAACAAATCATTTAAGTTTCTACATTAGCATTCAGAGTAAAAATATTTTGAACTAGTAGAGAACTTTCTGAAAAAAAAAAGTCATTATTAATCAGGTTAATTTTCCTGTCAACCTGACTGTACGACTCCTGTTCTCTGAATTCTCTCAGTGGTGGCTTTCCTTGCCACGTTCAGTTTACATTTCTTTCAAGGCAAAACACACAACTAGAGCTCAGTCTGTCCTTTTGGCTGCTCTCCCATTTGCTTTTCCACAAACCTCAGACCTCACTCATTGCAACCTCATACTCCTATCTCCATTTGTATATGGGCAGCCTGAGTGTGTCATATTAACATGCATAACCCAGTTTGATAAACTACTACAAGCACTTAAAACTGTTTTTACTATGCCTCTCACAGTGCTCATTAAGAGCTAGTTCAACAAGACAAGGTTACTACCTTGGCTGAAATTCTTCCCAGTTCAGTCTAAGTACAGAGCTGTTCAGTTTATGGTCCATTCTGGGCACTTGGTATGACACAACGAAACCTGTTGGCAACTACATAATTTGCTGTTTAAATGCACTTCCATCTCAGGGCTTATCAGTGCTACTAAGTGACCTGCTCTGTACTACAGAACCTCTGCAGGTCTTCCACTGCAAGCTCTACCAGGCACCCACCAGCTATGGCTAGTCTAGGTACATGGCACATACTCTTGCCCCAGGGCCAGGAGGACTGACTAGTTACACAGAAAAACAGCAGCAGCACAGATATTTCCCCTGTCTAGCTCAGGCTCCAACATGTATATGTTTTTGCTTTGCCTTTTTTAAGGCTTAATGGCAAACAAAAGTTCTCCAGCTTAATGAATCAGTTTCTAGGATGAACCTGCAGTGTCAAAAAGAGCTCTTATGCCTGTAGTCTGTAGTGCCCAAGCAAGAAATGGAAAACAAACAAGAATGTCCATGCAGCAACATGGCACCAAAAGCCCCCACCCTGCAAGCAGCCCAGCAGGAGCAGGTACAAGTTAAGGTTCTCACATTTTTATATATTTCTATCATACTTGCATGAACACACTCAAGTATCACTAAAGCCCATGACTTAAACATATAAAGCAAATCAAAGTGATAGCACAGAATGATCATGTTATTTGTCGTGCCTACTGGGTTGCTAAGTATGTTTACTGCAGGCCAATACAAATGGCAGTGGGAAGCTCAAGCACCAAGAGCAAGTTTCAGAACTTGGTTGCACGTTTTAATGCAGACACTGTTTGGGTTTGGACTCCCAACTCTAAATGCACAGCCTGTTGGCATACAGGGTTTGCAATAGAAGTTGCTAGGACAGACATCACGGTGTTTTAGAAAAAGTCTTCCTCTCACAGATGCAAAATAGGCGCCTTTTTTTTTTTTTTTTTAACCTGCCACTTTTACTACAGGGTTGTCAAGAAAAATTATACAGGCTTAGCATTAGAGTTTGTTTTCCAACATATCCAAGTAATGACAGTATAAATGTTCTTAATGGTGCTCTAAGCAATCATGCTCCAAGAGGAAAACTCTTCACAGAAAAGACTCAGTTACTGGATACAACAGAAGTAAATATATTTTCTGTGTACAATTAAAAATGACAGAAATTGTTGCTTAGCATATGTAGTTTGTCAGACAGCAGACAAATTCAATTGATGATGATGTAAGGTTAAAATTCATTTACCTTTCGAAGATTTATGGAATTCCTTCTGAAATCAAAGTTTCCAAAATATTCAAAAAAGTCACCCAACAACACATCTAAGAGAAAGAAAAACAATAACCATCAGTAACACTTAGGAAAAGTTTATTTTCTATATGCTCATTAAAAATTAAAATAAAATTAAAAATAAAAATTTCTGAAGATTTACCTACCAAGTGTTTCTGTATTTTTTGTAGGTTTAATCTTGCTTAAATCACTAACAAATGAGCAATCATACCCTCCAATTACATGCTTGTCTTTTTCATCTGAAACAAAAATCACAGGTATATTTCAAAGTGATAAAAAATAAAATGCCATTGTCTTCAATAAAATTCAGATAACACACAACTGAATACATTGAATGCTATCATATTACCTAAATCAAATTAGGAGGTCACAAGTGAACTTTCAGGTTAGGATTCAACTTAAGTGGTTAAAGATTTAAAAGAAAAAAAGTCTAAGGAGAGGCAAAGGAAGAGAAGCATGACTAAATGGCTTCTTTTCAAAAGCCTACAGGAATAAGATATATGACATCCTTTCATCTCTGAAGTTACTTCTTTTAAGTAACAGACCTGATATCTCTGCATACAGAGCCTTATTATACACTAAACAGCACAAATCTCCAAAGTCAATACCTATATGAGTTTCCCAAAAACTCAGATCCAAAGTGTCTGCTGTCTTTTTCCTGAAGAACATAAGAAAATTATGAATATTCTTGTAAAATTTTTTGACAGATATTGTTTTAGGTATTAAATATTTACATCTGAATTCTACAGAATTTTTAACTGATTTTAAAGTAACCAAACCTTTTTCCTCCACTTAAAGCTTCTGAGGAAGCATGTCAGTAAGCAGAAGGCAGGAGTGAGGAATCAAGAACTTGGGGTGTCATTCTCTACGCTTTCATAAGCGTCAGTGAAGACAGTACACCTGAAAGCTATGTATGAAACAGCCAGAACAGCTTGTTTGTGAAGATAAGAGTTATTTGGAGATGGCCTGAACAGTCTGAAGGATATTACAAATGGTGAGGAAAAAATATATAGCCTTCCTTTTAAACATTTGGTATCTATAAAACAGTATACATCATATCCATCTGCATAAAACCCTTAACAAATGCAGAGATATTTGAGACCCTACAAGTCTTCTGAAAAAAAAAAAAAAAAAAAAAAATGCTAAAACAGTCAGCATGGGAGCATTGAGCAAATAAATTACTTTTCATTTTCTAAGGCATAGAACAAACCTAACCTCTCTAAACCAAGCTTACTATTCTACTGAATATCCAGTTATTTTGCCTTTAAAAATACACTATTTCCCCCCCAAAAAATACAGTTAAAACTTGTATATTCCCTCAAACTTAAGGCACACATACACTGAGAACACAAAGAAATTGCTTGGGTTTATTCACCACTTCAGAGAACACAAATGTGAAAGTCACTTCAATAAACACATGTCCTTACCTGCCAGCTCTTTCAGTTGGTCTAGTGTTGGAATGATAGGTGGTGATCTCTTCTGCAGAAAAAACATGACCATCATAGTCAGAGAGAAGTTTGTAATCCAGGTGCCAGGAACACTATTTGTAAGTCCATGAACACGGGCCCAGCAGCGTATGGTGAACACGAGCGCTCTCACACGGGAATCAAGACAGCCATAGATATACAAGAGCTCTGAGCTTTTTATGGCAATGCTGAAGAAGAAAAGAAAAGTCAAGGATATGTCAATAACAAGAGAATTGTGAAGTACGAGATGCAGTGTTTGTTGTTCAGCTCTAGAGCATCAGTTACAAGGGAAGAGGGTATCCATTAAAAAAACCTTCTACACATTTTAAAAAAAATAGAAAAGCACACCTGAAATTTGTCCAGGATGAAATACCTGGTAATCTTCCATAGTAAGAAGGATACAGTTATGGGTAAATTATAACATTGCATTTGCAATGTTTCCCGTTTCATTGTTCAACATCACAGTGGAAGGAAAAAAAGCAAACCCAAAACACCACCATGAAGTAAAGAAGCAAAATGATGCAAAATCAAAACAAAAAATACAATTTAGCCACAACTGCCTTTGAGGCACATTAGATAATATCTCTACCCCAAAATATAATAAAACACAACTAGAACTTCTTATACAACTTTAATCCAAAAAGTAATAAAATAATGCACTGAAAAATAGATGACGTGCAGAGACACGACGAAATCTGAAAAACAAGTCCAGTTTTCAAATGACTAGTGCTTGGTCCTATTAAAAAAAAGAAAAAACAAAAAACTAATCTGGAAGGATAAAGGTTTTCAGGTGGATCAGTTTTTCATCTGCTTCATCATAAGGCTATACAAACATTTTTGTAGTGTAAAAATGGGAGGGCAAGAAAAAAAGCAGAAAAAAATGGAAGCAGAGTGCGAGAGCAAGATTTACTCTGAGGTCATCTGCAGTCTAAAGTGCTTTGTTGATCCACAATTGCAGGAGTTTTTTGCTCCCAGTCTTGCACTGAATTCTTCTAAAATTCCACCATGACATTTTGGGGAAGTTTACCATGTGAAAGTTTTGTAACACCTGGAAAATTGCAACTGTGAAGTGCTTCCTTGTGTCCACGGGGGTTTGTTATTACTCTACATGACAATAAGACAACACACAGAGTCTCAACCAGCCAAATCATCAGCAGAGAATTACAAGGAAGTTTGCAGAGAACTGCACGCTGATTTTCACTGCAGCTGCATATAGAGAAGTAATTTTATTGCAAGGTATTTGCTCAGCACTGCCTTAACAACTCTTGCAAGTTCTGAAACAGAACTTTGAGCAATTCGGAAAATCCAGTCAGGTTTAAAATTAAGTCATTTTATTTGATGTAGACAAATCACAAAATCTGCACTGAAAGCCATATCAAAAATACTGTGAAAGATAATCACTCATGCTTTACAATACCCTAAAAAAAAAATTGAAAAATCATTGTTAATCCTTTTTATTTACGTACACTTACACCAGGCCTACGGTTGGATTATCATGGGTATTTTATTATTAATAAAATAAATGGCAGCAAAACAAATTATATGCTTTACTGTCACCCAAATGAAAGAAAGTTGGTAGAGCAGAAAATACATGTAAAAAGAGCGTTGTTTCTAAGAGGCTTGCTCCCTCTATTGGGCACTGCTGTGAAAGGTCCTAAATGACAGTAACACTTCAGACTGCTTTCTGAGGCATGGAGTTAATTTAGCATTCAAGATGCCCTGCCACCAAACAGCTATATGCAGGCGCTTCAGAAAGACAAACGACACCAGAATAACTAGAGGCCTAATCACTGAAATTAACACAGTGGAGCTGTTTAATCTGCAAAGCAACCAGAAGAAGGCTGTGCATATGCCCCCATACACAAAGGGAAATACTGACTAACAAACACTGCCTCCTTTCCATTCCTTACAAGCCCACCTTACTGTATTCAGTGGTTTTTCAAGTGTTCAGTTTCAGCTAGCAAGTATTTCCTATGCTGGAGAAAGATACCTTAAGCACATTAAAACCTAAGCCCTACAAGTCAAAAATACCCTTTTTACTTTCAGAGCCAACATTCACGTTTGTTAAGGACACAGAAAGGACTAAACAGTTTTCATTACAGGTTCTCAGAACATAAGCACCTTAGTATGCTTCCTGAAATTTTTAAAAATAGTCTCACCTGTTGCTCACTGACAGGTCACACTGGAATCCTGTTGGTTGATGAGAAAATTTCACCAGTGGACAGCGAGCATTGAGTATCTTCTGTACAGCCACATACCCAGGACCAAAATTATCAAGGCAATCACCAATCACAGAAAGAATTTTCTGAGTTGCTAATCTTTCAGATGGTAATCTTCTCATCTGGTATTCCATTTCAAAGGGACCTTTTTTCTTAAAACACAGAATTTTAAAGTAAACTGTTAGCTCTGGAACCAAACAGACATTTAAGAACATTTCTGAAAAACTACAACGATCTACAAAGAAGCGTGTACACTTAGAGACTGAAAGACAAAAATATGCAAAGCAGCCCATAGAACTTAAAGGCAAAAATCTATAGCTTTCTCTTCTATATCCTTTTTCAGTGATTCAATTTTTCCAGGTTAATCATTATTAACTTGCTTGTAAAGTTACTTGTTCAGATGAGGAAATAATACTACTACTACTCATTGCCTAAAACAAGTAATTCTGGAGTTCCTGAGAGAGCACATATGCTTTCACCAAAGAGGAGCAGACAATTAAAGAGGGGAAAAACACAACCAAACCATCATTAATTTAAAACCACCAGTAATTCTATTTCAAATCCTCAAAGAATTATTTAGCGTTACTGTAAAACATTATTAGTGAATCAGGTAGCAGTGTAAAGCAAAATGTTCTTATTTAAAAAAATTGAATGATTAAGTAATTTGCATGCTAAAATCTTTGAAAATGAAGATACGCTTCTGCAAGACTTAAAAAATAATCACTTCACAGTTTTTCGAACAAAAAAAGTAAAGATGTGTTCTGGCAACAGAAGCAAATTTTCCTGTAGGCGTTTTTTGAATTGTCATATTTGTAGTTTATACTTCAATAAAATAGCTTCATACCTACTAAATATCTGTTCTCTTTATAGTTTATCCACATTTTTAAGCCTCAGCTCATTTTGCTTGCTAATCCAGCACTTGACATCGACTTATCCTCCCTCTTGGAACATGTCATGTGTGAAAGCATACTATACAAACAGCACTACACAGTGACCCAACCAGTCCTCCGAGACACACGGGGGTTACTTTTGTTGTCACCAAGTTAGTGCAAGGAAAGCAGGGATTCCCAGACCAGCAAAGCAGGTCGGGAGTGACGACCCTTGCAAGCTTTCCCATCAACTCCTTTTAGGTGCCCAATTTCAAGTCACTCTGGCAACCACCGAGGTGACCGTTCTGCTCTCCTCTTGCCAACCTTCTCCAGCCAGCAGGTGTGTTTCAGCATAGCAGGACAGAGCTCCCTAATCCCATTTGGCTGTGTAGCTCCATGCTGCAGCAGGGCTGGCTCACAGTGAAAGGAGCCTTAACTATCAACACTGAGCTATGTAACAGGAGACAAAAGGATAGGGACCTGTGGGTGTACTGGTGTTCAGACCTTTACGTCTGTGACAAAAGTCACAATGTGACTTCACAGACAGAAGCCCCATATCTCTCAAAAGCTGATGAAGACTGTTTCGTAATGATAAAAGTTACTGTTAATTGATAGGACCTTCATATATAGTTTTCTTGCTGGCTGGTGGGGGGTGAAGTACTGATACATTTGGTCCAACCCTGTGGTTCTGCCCCTATTCCTGTCATACTAAACGCAGATAAACTGCTGCTTTGGGGTAAATTGATATAGTAGCCTAAGCAAGAAGCGCAACTGTTTTAAGGCAAAACCTGTTACTCTAAAAATATCTCTACTCTGTTTTAAGTCATTCACTCATCTCCCAAACTGCTCACCTGTTAAAAACACTATCTGTGGTCAAACACCGGATTGATAATCCACTCTTGGTAAAGAACACTCCCCACTTTTGCTGCTTTTTTTTTTGATTCACAATTAGTAATCAGTTTGCCATAAGCCTCACAAAATGTTAATTAATTCTGGGCCCCTCAGTTCAAGAAGGACAGGGAACTGCTGGAGAGAGTCCAGCGTAGGGCTACAAAGATGATTAGGGGAGTGGAGCATCTCCCTTATGAGGAAAGGCTGAGGGAGCTGGGTCTCTTTAGCCTGGAGAAAAGGAGACTGAGGGGTGACCTCATCAATGTTTACAAATATGTAAAGGGTGAGTGTCAGGAAGATAGAATTAAGCTTTTTTCAGTGTTGACCTGTGATAGGACAAGGGGTAATGGGTGCAAATTGGAGCATAGGAGGTTCAAGGTGAATATCAGGAAAAATTTTTTTACTGTGAGGGTGACGGAGCACTGGAACAGGCTGCCCAGAGAGGTTGTGGAGTCTCCTTCACTGGAGTCATTCAAAACCTGCCTGGACGCCTTCCTGTGTGATGTACTCTAGGTGGTCCTGCTCTGGCAGGGGGGTTGGACTGGATGATCTTTCGAGGTCCCTTCCAACCCCTATGATTCTATGAATGTAAACAGGTGCTGCAACGCCTGGTCCTCCCCTATTGCTGGTACCTCCTGGAAGGCTGCAACAGTGCAGGAATGAGAAGAAACCCTTTCCACCGCTGCTATATCATCCTATATACTAAAGTTACCTCTCCTGTGGAGGTCCACAGTGGAGCAGGTATCTACCCTGCAGGCTGTGGACAACCCCATGCAGGAGCAGGCTCCTGGCAGGAGCTGCAGGCTGTGGAGAGGAAGAGGTTTCCTGGCAAGACCTTGGCCCTGTGGGTAACTCACACTGGAGCAGTCCATTCCTGAAGGCCTGTAGCCCATGGGAAGGACCCATGGTAGAGCACTTTTTGAAGAGCTGCAGCCTGTGGGAGGAACCCCATGTTAGAGCAGGGGAACAGCATGAGGAGGAAGTGGCAGCAGAGATGAAGCATTATGAACTGACCACAACCCCTAATTCTCATACCCCTGAGCCGCTTAGGGAGAGGGAGGTAGAAGCACTGGGAATGAAGCTGAGACTAGAAAGAAGAGGTGGTGGGAACATGGTTTTAATTTCATTGTTTCTTTATTTCTTAATTTCATTCTTAATCTTTTATACTGGTATCTTACTTTGCTATTTAATGGCAATAAATTCCCAGGTTGAGTTTGTTTTTCCCCTAAGAGTAATCAGTAAGTGAGCTCCCTGACTTTATCTCAACCCATAAACTTTATCATCTTATTTTCTCCTCACATTTTTAATAGTGAGAGAACTGGTGGGCAGCTGGAAGCCAGTCAAGGTTAACCCACCATACCTAGAAAGCTCTCTAGGTGCTGGCAGCTTAGCGTCCCATTTTGCTCATGCTTGAATCAAGACAGGAGTTGCACTCATGATTTTTACAGTTCTTTACAGGACAATGCTCTAAGGTACTTGATAACTGTACATACTTTCACATTGGTGCAGCAGAAATGTCCGTATGTTAACACTCCAAAATTTCAAAGCTAACAAGACCAGGTTTTGTGTGTGAAGACTGCAGTTGCAGACAAGACAAAAGCCTCACTGCACCACACAGAGTACAAGTGTGACACAGCCTATCAAGTAACTTGAAGACACGGGCTCAGATAGCATCCCTGCTGGCTTTTGCCACAGCACCCCCCGCAGCAATAATATGTCATCTGTCCACAAATAATCACAACCCAACCCATCCTCAAATAACTCTGAAGTTCACAACAGAAATTCTGTTTCTAGAAAGGATGAATACTAAAGCAAACAACTAGTTGCAAAACACGCTTCAAAAACATACTTGAAAAGATGTTTCCCTCAAAATTTAAGAGGCAACTTTACTGTTTCAATGTAACGAGCACCTAGATTTTAACACTTTCCACATGCACAATGACCCTGCTCTTCAGCTGACATAATTGCTTTCACTGTGTTTGATCACTGCTACAACACTAAAAACTATATACATTTGAAGGGGTATTTCTTTAAAAGTAACATACATGGCAATATATAAATTGTACAGAAGAGCAAAGTTCCCTTTCAATTTTCAAAAGCTTAAGCTCATCATCCTTTTTTCTTCTAAGGATAACAAAGCTATATTTTCCCAAATTATCTGTTACCACACAAATAGAAAATTTTTCAAACTGCCTGAATCGCTTCACTAGCCATTCAGAATCCACAAAGAAACCAAACTTCTCCACAGGACATTTCTGATCTAACTCTCCGTTCTTCCCCTCCGGATTCTCTCATTTTGTTCTCCAATCCAAAAGGATATTTTGACTGCCCACAGTCAAAATACAGCAGCAAGAGATAAGATACTTTCAGAAATGCCTTGTCTAGTCTTTTCTCATTCTTTATGCCTACGTGCATAAGGACTGAGGCACAACCTACTCTAAATGACCGTGACAATTTGAAGCTGCCCAAACACCAACAATAAACATGTGAACTTGGTGACACAGTGCAGATTTCCAAATTGCAGTATGGGTAAAGACAAAATTAAGATGACGTTTAATATGTACGTTAAAAAGGCAATAGTGGTGACTGAATATTGCTTACTGGCAGTCTTGTAACCCTCCAGCTTCTCAAGGTAGCGATGCAAATTCTGTACTTTGGCCAGCAAATTCCAGCGAGCATATTTCAATTTCAAGCCTCTATGCTCGTGTCATAATCACCATTTGTCTTGGTGTTTACTGTTGTATTACCAGTGAGGCATCCAAGTAACTGTGAACTATCTTATGGCAAGTCTGACAACAAAGTATCTGATCAAGATTATTGGGCCGGCTCAGTTCCCGTTTTGCTCCTGGGTCCTGCTCCCCAAAACATCTACTGTACAGATGTACCAGCTCATCCTGAGATTCCTTTCTGGAGTAAGACAACTAATTCCCTTCACAGTGAAACTCAGGTGCTGTTACCATGATCATCTTCTCTGGACAGACAACACCAATATGAACATGTGTGCCAACTGCAACTATTCACTGGTACTTTCACTATCCCAGGTCTTCAACTTTCACACTGCAACACACTCTTAGGTGTGTGTATATATTTGTGCACATCAGTACATAATTCAGTAGCTTTTCTATGGCATTAAGTCAACTCTCTAAATTAAGGAAAAGAACCTGACAACTCTCCCAAATGCACACACATAGAATTATTACGCTTTATAGCACCATGGAACATAAAAATCAAAGCCAAGCCTTAAACAGCATGGATGAAGCCCAGCAGCTCCTGAGAAGAAAATATAACAGTAGAATGGGAAGGTCTGACATGGCTGAATCAGTTCTGGAGGATGAGGTGTTTTGGTTTTTTTTTCACCCTAACAGTCTACTTAAACATAGAATAATTTTCTTCCTATTGCAAATGTCACACCCAGCTTTTCAAAGTCTTCAAATCCAAACATTCAAATACACTTGTCCACAGTCTACAGTTTGAACTCATATAAAGCCTAAGTATAAATAAACTGATTCCTGGGTGTGAAGGAGCAGGTGAACTGCTCTGCTGAAGAAATCCAACAGACTGAAGATGCACAGCATAATCTTACCACTTTTTTATCATGTTTTCCTGTATCATGGAAGTCCAGAAACATGTCCACATCACATCCCAATTTGCCAAAGGTGTTGACTGAAGAGCCAAATGGCTTTACTGTACTGTCTGGAAAATATGCACGTGTAAAATCCCGAACCAGAGAACAGGCCAGAAATCGGAGCTTGATATTTTCTTCTGTAAGCTGATATTCATTCAGCAGAATGTACATCTGACTGCTTATCTAGTCAAGAAAATAAACACTGTAAAAGCACAATGACACATCTTCCATGCATGAACATGTATTTTCACCTACTTAATATAATTGCAATTAGAAAATTTTAAAAAAATCTCCAACAGGTTTATTTCATAGAATCCTTTAGGTTGG